AGGGAGAGAGAGAGAGAAAGAGAGAAAGAGAGGGGGGCGAGAGTGAAAATTTAAAATAAACTTTATGGATTTCAACTATTTAACCGTAAAAGTTTAGTTTTTTTTACTTTTCCATTCAGGTCATTTTATATAAGACTTCTTCTTTTTTTTTTTCTTTAAAAAAAAAAAAAAAACTTTTTCTTCTGCTTCTTCCCCCCCCCCCACACACACAAAGTTCAATAGAGAAAGCTCTTTTATATAGGAAACTTTTATTTAAAAAAAAAACAAAAATAATAAATTTTTTATTTCTTTTGTTTTCTTTTTTTCTTTTTTTTTTTTTTGAAGACATGAATTATTATTATTATTATTATTATTATTATTATTATTACTATTATTATTGTTATTATTATTATTATTATTATTATTATTTTTACTACATAAAAAAAAACCTCATCCTATATATTAATTATTAATAAAAAAATTTTTACGTGTAGACAATAAATAAAACTAAAAATTTTCAATTTCGATTTTCCCTACTTCGTCCCCTCAAAAAAAAAAAAAATATTATTATTATTATTATTATTATTATATTTTCATTATTATTATTATTACTATCGTTAATCACACGTCTCATATTATTATTATTATTATTGTTAAATTTAATGTTTAAAACGTGATTAAAAAATTTTTTTAATTCGCCGACCGACGGCGAGGACGACGTTTTTTTTTATTAATAAGTTAATTAAATTTTCCCCCCCTCCTCGTCTCTCCGTTTAATGTTTTATTAATGATAACAAAAAAAATGATAAGAAAAACCCACTTCACTTGACGTAATAACGATAATAATAATAATACTTATATAATTTTTAAATTTAAAAAAAATGACTTTTTTATATGAAAATTACGGTCAATATAATTGACCTTTAAAGAGGAACCAAAGAGGGGATGATGGGGGAATTAAATGAAAAAAATTGTTATTTAAACAAATTTGTTTAGTTGTTAATTACGTAAAAAAAATTTTTAACAATTTTTTCATTATTGATTTTTTAAGTACTACATCGAAAAAATATTTTTAAAAAAAAATTATATTTTTATTTATTTTTATCCGATAAAAACAAAAATCCGATAAAAAAAAATTTTCCTCTTCCCTCCCTCTCCCCCTAATGTTTTAAAATGATGAAAACAAACCCCCTTAACGATTTTATTTTAAATAATAAAATACGAATTAATAATAAAAAAAATATTTTAAATTGTTAGAATGAGAAAAAAAGATGACAAATAATAAATGATAAAAAAAAAACTTTTCTTTCTTTTTTCTTTTATGCATGTAACTACGTGAATAAAAAAAATAAAATTTTCCTTTTTTTTTTTTGTAAAAGGTTTATTTTAGGTCAAAAACTATTTTTTTTTTTTTTTGCAAAATAAATTTTCTTTTTTTTTATTTATATATGGGGAGGTGGATAATGGGAAAGGGTACGTGAGTGGGAGTAGGGAAAAAAGGAGGTATTTTAAGTTTTTCAATTGTGAATAATCCAAAATGGCTTTTAAAAGCTCCGCATAAGAATTTTAAAATTTTTTTTTATTTTTTATTTTTTTCATCCCTTTTAACATTTGTATTATCTGGAAAAGCAAAAAAAAATCTTTTCTTTTCTTTTTTTTTTTTTTAATATTCAGTCAAACCCACAAAAAAAAAATTTTTTCCAGAATTTTCCGAACATAACGACTGAAAAAAATCAAATGAATAATTATTATTATTATTATTATTATTATTATTATTATTACCGTTTTGTTTTAAACAATAATAAAAAAAGAAAAATATTTAGAATTAATATGGCGAATATCATTCAAAATCATTTTTTTGTTTTTTTTTTTACTAACTAAATACACGAATTGGGAGGGAAACCTTTTTTTTTTTTTTTTTTTTTAAACGAGGAAAAAAAAGAAAATAAAAGAGAGAGAGAGAGAGAAAGAGAAAGAGAGAGAGAGAGAGAGAAAGAGAAAGAGAGAGAGAGATAGAGATATAAAATAAATGTTTTTATTTTATTTTTCTTTTTGTATATTTATTTATTTATTTATTTAATATTAAATTTAAAACTTTTAATAGCTTTTAATTAACTATTAAATTTACGGAGATTTCGTCGTTCCATTTATTTTATTCATATAATAATAATAATA